CCAGCAGCCTGAATGATTCAGTTAAAGTGCCTTCAGATGATATCATTTGTCTGCTAAACATACTTCAATTATTTCCTAAATCCCTTGCAATAAAACCAGCAGTTTGGGTAAAGGGTGAAGTACCAGGTGGAGATTAATGCAGTGGGAGGAGTGGAGGCAATCAGGGAGGACACAAATAACCTCAAATATGCAGGTAAGCATTTTAAGAAGTAACAAGCTGGAAGTTGGGAGTGTGACGCCCTGACAATGGTTATCAGACCTCTCCACTATGGGAAACTCGGAGTGACAACCAATGAAGCAGCCCAGACAAGTCCTGTTACTGATTACAGGACCCAGTGGAGCTGGCTTCCTCTCCACACTGCCCTTCATCAGTCTGGTCACCTGTATTCTCTGTCCCGTATATTCACATCATGTTTCTTGAGCTGAAGGTACTCCTTCACCTTCTTCAAATCCCCGACTGAGGCAGCTTTGTGAAGTTTCTTTAAATCCTTATCTCGAAGGTTGTAGCCTGGCTGGGTGGGGTGATGAGTGCTGGCCCGGCCTATGGGCAGGTGTGAGGAGGGGCTGTGGGGCTCATCCTTCCTTCTCCAGAAAGTGAAAAGCTTCTTCATGGCGGCACAGGATACAAGTCCTTCAGTAGGATCAGGGTGTCCCTGAAGTTCCCAACAGCCCCATCTGCCCCTTGGGCCTGGCCCCTCCCTACCTCCCCACCCCCCTCACCCTCTCACTTCCCACCCCACCCCCCACCCAGCTCGAGGGCGTCTCTGGGCGTGTCTTCACCCCAGTGTCCAAGCTAGCCAGAGACCGGAAGTGGGCCAGTGACAGGAAGTGATCTAGACAAGAAAGGGATTGAACCACTCGCCTGGGGCAACACACCCTCCTCAGTTGCCTAGCAACGCCCAGGGCCTGGCACAGCAGCAGCACCCCCGACACCTGTAGGGACTCAGTACTGAAGGCGTCCAGACCCAGATTCTCAGTTAAGATCTTTGTCTGCTACACTTTCAATCTTACTGGTAGATGAGCCGTTTGGCAGAAACCTACCAACTTTCTTACAAATAACCCCTTCTTGTTCGAGGATAGCCCTAATGACTTGAACTGAGATCCCTCTATAATCTCAATTTCAAATTTACTTTTGAATGCTACCTCTCATATTCCAGCTCGTTTTCTCATGTTACAAAATTCCAAAAAGGCTTCCAATTCATTGCACCTACAGTCCATTAATTCTACCACCTTTCACTGACCTTGATCACCCCACTCTGTGTACACATTAGCCTACTTAACTAGATTAAATTCCATTGTTCATCATCATCATCACTCCCCTGCATATACCTTCAATGTTTGCGTTCAATCTTTTTCTTACTTTCTGCCTAAACCTCAGTCCTAGTTAAATCTAAAACTCCCATCTAAAATGGTCTGTCCTGAGCCACTCTGACTAAAGGAAAAAACAAAGCCATGCTGTCCTGTCTCACTTTTAGTTCATGAAAATTCATCTTAAGTGGATTGGAATGCTTTCTAGCAACCCTCAAATATTTCCTTGATCCATTCATACTCACACTTTTCTTGACCATTTCATAACTTCTCTCCAAACTCATTCTTGGCTGATGACCTGGTTTCCTGACCCACTGAGAAAAGAGAATTAATCAGAAGAGGAATTCTGTGGTCTCCCAGGACATCCACCTATCTGCCTATCCTTTCCCAAAAAATATTTTACCTTCTCTTCTGTTCCTATTGATGATGTGTCCATGTTTCTAGCAAAGGCCAGCCCCTCTCTTGTGGACTAGAACACATCCTCTGTAGCCTGTCCATGAACACTGCTTAAGCAACCTCTTACTTTCTCATGTTTCTATAAAGTTTGTCTCTGTTAACTAATTGTTATTAGCATAAACACACGCTAATATTTGTCCAACCTACAAATCAAACTGATCACATCTCTCTCTGTAACCATTCATTGTCTCATTTCCTTTACAGCAAAACTCCTTAAAATTGTCTATAATCTTGTAATCTCTGTATATAATTTTTCTTCCTCTGTTCTCACAGCAAATCCTACCATTGCCTATTTTTTTATTGAGGTATAATTGACATATTATATCAGTGTCAGGTATACAACGTAATGATTCGATATTTGAATATACTGCAAAATGATCACCACAGTAAGTCTACTTACCATCTGTTACAAAAGTTATAAAAACTTTTTTCTTGTGATAAGAACTTTTAAGATTTACTCTCTTAGCAACCATTCTTTTGTTCCCATCTCTCTCAATTGACACTGCTTTCAGTATGATTGCCCATGACCTCTATCATGTGAAATCCCACTGTCATTTCTCAGTTTTCATATAAATCCAGTAGCATTTGACACAGGTTTCAAGGACCATTGCTTGCTCCTTGAAACACTGTCTTCACTTGGCTTCTAAGATATCACACTTCCCTGGTTTGATTCCTTCCTTTCTAACCATTCCTTCTCGGTTTGCTGATTCCTCCTTAGCTCCAATATTGGAGAGCCCCAGGATCAGTCTATCAATAGCTTCATTTTTTTTTTCCCTCCAAAACCCCTGGAGTCATCCTTGAGTCTTATCTTTTACATCTACATTTAAATTGCCAGCAAATCCTGTTAACTCTAACTACAAAATACATCCAGAATTCATTTGTTTTATTCCTGTATCCAGATTCCCTTCTGGGTGATCGTATTTCGCGCATAGCTTTAAGCCATCCATGTGCTCTCAACTCCAAAATTGAGAGTTCTAATCTGGTCCTCTCTCCTGAACTCCAGACTCCTATATCTAGTTGCTTATAGATTCTGGTGGCATCTCACATTTAACACGTCTAAACTGACCTCCTCACATTCCACTCTGTCCCTGTCTTTCTTACTTAAGAACAGGTAACTCCATTCTTCAAAAGTCAGGTCAAAAGTTGCTCAGGTCAAAAGTCTTAGTGTCTTCCTTAACTTCCCCCTTTCTCAATGGCTACATCAGTTAGCTAATCAGTCAGCAAAACCTAAATACAATACCTCCAAAATACATACAGAGTTTGACCACTGCTATCCATGTAGCACAGGACAACATCATATTTTTTTATTTGTACTATTTTACTTTAATATTTTATAGGAGAATCCTGACTGGTCTTCATGCTTCTGCCCTTGCACACCACCCTTGCACCAGTTTATTTGGAACCCAGCAGCCTGAATGATTCAGTTAAAGTGCCTTCAGATGATATCATTTGTCTGCTAAACATACTTCAATTATTTCCTAAATCCCTTGCAATAAAACCAGCAGTTTGGGTAAAGGGTGAAGTACCAGGTGGAGATTAATGCAGTGGGAGGAGTGGAGGCAATCAGGGAGGACACAAATAACCTCAAATATGCAGGTAAGCATTTTAAGAAGTAACAAGCTGGAAGTTGGGAGTGTGACGCCCTGACAATGGTTATCAGACCTCTCCACTATGGGAAACTCGGAGTGACAACCAATGAAGCAGCCCAGACAAGTCCTGTTACTGATTACAGGACCCAGTGGAGCTGGCTTCCTCTCCACACTGCCCTTCATCAGTCTGGTCACCTGTATTCTCTGTCCCGTATATTCACATCATGTTTCTTGAGCTGAAGGTACTCCTTCACCTTCTTCAAATCCCCGACTGAGGCAGCTTTGTGAAGTTTCTTTAAATCCTTATCTCGAAGGTTGTAGCCTGGCTGGGTGGGGTGATGAGTGCTGGCCCGGCCTATGGGCAGGTGTGAGGAGGGGCTGTGGGGCTCATCCTTCCTTCTCCAGAAAGTGAAAAGCTTCTTCATGGCGGCACAGGATACAAGTCCTTCAGTAGGATCAGGGTGTCCCTGAAGTTCCCAACAGCCCCATCTGCCCCTTGGGCCTGGCCCCTCCCTACCTCCCCACCCCCCTCACCCTCTCACTTCCCACCCCACCCCCCACCCAGCTCGAGGGCGTCTCTGGGCGTGTCTTCACCCCAGTGTCCAAGCTAGCCAGAGACCGGAAGTGGGCCAGTGACAGGAAGTGATCTAGACAAGAAAGGGA